CAATGTTGCTATGTCCAGTGCCAACACTTCGGCCTGCATGTATCAACCTTTGGGAACACCATAGCTCATTATAGGAAGCTAGGTCCTCCAAAATATCAACAATTTTGTTGAAGGTCTTCTTCATGAAAGCTCCATTTGTGGTGTTGTTGGTGTTGGGTGTGTTGCCCTAAACTCGTAGTTTGTATTTTGTAAAAACAAATGTCTATTTAATAAAGTTTTATTCAATAAATTTGTTGTTGAATCATAGCTTTGCATTGTCCAAAATCCAATAAACTAAACATCCAAGGTTATTTTTGATGTAATCGGGACAGTATATATACTGCGTATATAGTTGATATACGGTGTATATATTTGATATACCCCTGATATATGAATGAATAATGTCCCGTGAATAACCTAAAGGGTCTATAGTATATGGATAAGGTTGGGTACCTTATCCTGGCAACACTAAGGATACGGCCCGCTCTGTAAAGGTTACAAACGACTCGATCCAGGTCGTTCGTGTGGAGACATGCGAGTGGGGGTATCCTATACAATGAGTTTGTATAAGACCGGACCGCAAAATAGGCAATCTTTAGATGTAACACCATTAACTAATAGATTGCCATTTCTTAAGATGACCAAACAACTCATTCTCAATCCTGAGTGAGTTATAGACTCCTGCCCGTGAGGACTCGTTCTTTGATCTGTATGGGTGAGAGTGGCCGGAGTCGCCGACTCAACATTCCTACCATTTTGGGGACGAGACCGAGTGGGGAGCTGGGAACATAACTTCACAAGATGGAATTCACTCCTCCCCGACTTTAAGGGAGTAGATGAGTGTTCCCTTAAATACTGACTCCGGGACTTGAACAAGGGGCCCCACCCTCTCATTGGCCGAGAGGGACTTCCGGTTATTGGTTGGACCATAACCGGGTTGTTCATTAGTGGAGCAGTGGTGTTTAAGGAGTAAGATGTAACTCAGGGGTAAAATGGTAATTTGACCCAACTTGAGTTACGAACACTCGTGAAGGATTGACTCGTCATTAATGGTTGTATATCCCTGTACACGAAAACATTTTGCAGTGAGAAGAGTGCAACTGCGGGTCTTTAGTGGAATGACCCGTAGT